CACAATATTACGTCGGCATCGTAAGATTTATGCAAGTTTATGCTAAATTAATTTCCTGATGTTAAATAAAAATAAAAATATAAATAATTATAACAAATAAATTTATAGTGGAGATTAAATTAGTCAATCATCAATTCTTTCTAGTATCTAATGTTTATTAATCAATCAAAAGTATTATTAGTATATAATAATTAATGGATAGATAGTAATTTCCAATAAATTAATAATGAAATTTTTATTCACCTTCAGCATTTAAAAATCAAAAGTAATTAATGAGCTATCATTACTTGTATAACTTTTAAAGCTTTTTGATCTAGAAATTTCTTCATCTAATATTCTACTTGTATGATATGCACCTGGATGCGATATGTGTACATGTTGTGAAACAATGCTACCACCACTACCACCACCACTGCTGCTGTTGCTACAATCATTATCATGAATTTCTTTCAATTTATTATCAGCAAAAATAAAAAGATCTAGACTGGTTGGTCTTTTTGATGGATCTGCATCCCAACACCTCTGCATCATTTGCACATAATCATCAGGCTTTCCAGGCAATATTGGTGGTTGTAAACCTTCTGTACATATATCAAAAATTAAATGATGATTATGAGCCCTATCATCAAATGGTGGATTGCCTGCAAATATTTCCCACATTAACATCCCAACACTATAGATATCTGATTCTTTTGTGTTCATTTTGCCTCTAAGTAGCTCAGGTGCAACATATGATACAATCCCGTAAACTTTATCTGATGATTTTTCATCAACTGGTCCACATAATCCTAAATCTGTAATATAACAATTACCTCCTTGCACAAGTATATTACCACTATGTAAATCACAATGGATTAAACCTTTTTCATGTATACGATATAATGCATTACATAAATATCTAAAGATTGTAATTCTGCCTTTTAATGTTAAATTTAAATGTTTTCTTACCAAATAACTTCTTAAATTTCCTTCTGGTAAACAATTTAAAACTATTGCATAATTTCCATTATCCAGGAATTTAGTTATACCATAGCAAGGATTAATCAACCCTGATTTAATTTTACAATAATTCATTGCCTGAAGTTGAATATAAAATCAATTAGTATCATAAAATAAGTATTGTTTTAAATGACAACTACCAACCTCATCAAAAAAGCCTTTTCCTGGATTACTTGAATTATTTAAACTTTTTAATACTACTGCTTGCCTTCCAAAATAACTAAATTCCTTTTTATTTTCATCATAATCATTAAAAATTCCTCCTTTCCATGTAGCAGTATAAATTGAACTAAATCCACCTTCTGTCAGCTTTGTTACTTTTTCAAATTGCTCAAAAGGTATCCATTCTAAAATACAATCTGGCAGAGATGATTTCATTTGGCATTGTTGAATAAAATCATCAATTGTGTTATTTCCAGATGTCCAAGTAGTGAAAAGGCTCTGTAATTGTAAACTAATACAACCTTCACAGAACCTATCAGAGTATCTTGTCAATTTACACTTGTTACATTTCTTTGGATTTCCACTTTTATCTCTTGCACAATTTAATTCAAACTCGTAAATAAACCTTTCCTTACAATATTCTTCTTCATTTTCAGAAAGCTCCTCGTTTTTCTTGTTTTTTTTTGACTAATGAAAAAAAATAATCTTTTCTACTTTCATTATCAGAATTAATCAAAGCATTATTATGCATTTCATTATAAATTTTACGTACAAATCCCCTTCTTTCCGATGATAATGGTAATAATTTAGCATATGACATTATATAAAAATAAATGTATTTATAAAATTTAAAATTTGACTTGATTGATTTATTGTTTTATTGAGTAGAGAATAATTTTTTTGTTTTGAGAAAAACGATAATCCCATTTATTTATTCAATTCAGCAATTCTTTATATTATTTCCTTTTGCAGAGAATTGATTGACAAACAATTACGTAATGTTATTGGGACGTGATGATATTAACCTTTTTATTACATCAATGGGGGCTTTTTTTAGCAGTTAAATAGTTTATTTTGATTATCTCCGTCAGGATTAATTGATAAATAATTTGATATAATCTTGAAAGCATTGTTTAAAAGAAATCACTCTTTGTTTTCTATTTCTATCAATCTTAAATCTTCAAAATTAAAACTTACAAAAACCTGCCAAGATTGACCAATCTGTGTATTCCCAAACTCGGACACTAAATACAGTTTTTCATATAATCATGTGATGATTTAAGTTTCACATGTATATGCCACATGACTTTACATTGAATAAACACGTGATAACGTATGAAAGAAGAAAGTAAGATCAAAGATACGACTGGCCGACACTTCAATATTAATATTAATATTAATAATATATTCGTTCTATATTATAAATAAGTTGACAAAATTACTCTTAAATCATTATTCCAATTCTGTTCATTCCAAATAAAACACATAAAAAATGAGCATGGCAGTTACTAACTATTAATGGAAGCGCGGAAGAAAGAAAGAAACAATCGGTTGATTAACTAACTGACTAGTTAATTAACTAATAATTAATTATTTAATATTTTAGTGCTTCGCTCATAAGAGTAGAGGCAAAATTATTTTCACAAGTTAATAATTTAATAAAATAAAATAATTCTTTTTCACTTAATAAAACACTTATGTGATCGGAATTAAGCAATAGTGCTTGATCGTCCATTTGTTATCAGAGTGGTATAGAACTCTGAGGTTTGGTTATTTGCTGTAACGTCGATTAACCAGTGTAGTGTTAACAATGGATAATAAGGTTTTTTCTTAGTAAAGAAGCAAAGGTTCAAATTTTTGTTAGACGTTTTTGTAAAAGAGTATTAAAACCGATCGGCAAAAGTATTGTTTAACCAAAGTCGTTATCACGTCTCGTGTTAAATAATCGTTGTGAACGTACAGCCGTTAAAAGAAAATCAACTAAGCTTTTAAGCAGACAAAGCAAAGTAAAAAAGGAACTTTAGAAAAGCATTTGTCGCCCTCCAAAAGGGCCGCTTTTATTTATCTATTAGGTACAAAAAAGAAGAGTCAGTGAGCAGAAAATTGTTAAATATCGTAATAAAAGCTCGCAATTAATCGGCGAGTGTAGCTAAAAAGTTAATTCGAATTCGGCCATAAAACGTAAAACAATCGGCATTAACCAAAAGCCAATTCGCAATAGAAATAATTGATTGCTGATAATTGTGATTTATAAAATAAATACAAAAAATCTTTTTTAATAAATAATTTTTATAGAAGAGTGTAAAGGAGTGAGGAAGTTAGACAGGTTGGATGACTTGAAAAGAATATGTTAGATGAGCTGAACAGAAATGAGGACTGCTTATCAAAGATATTGAAGATGATAGAGATGATAGTATTGAGCAAATGGTAATAAGTGTCAAAGAAGCTTGAAAAGTTTAAAATTGTTCATACAAGAAGAAAATGTTAATGCCCTTGATTTTTATTTTTTTTTTCACAAAAGGTGTTTGTCAGAATATCAAAAATAATAACAATTGGACACACGGTCTGGCGGCCAATTTGCATATCAATAACTCAAAATATATTGCAATCGTAAGTAACAATAAATTTAATTAATCATACATATATACATTAGAGGTATAAAGAATAAAAAGCAGGAAAATTCAACGATAAAAAGTTGGATGGAACGTGAGAACTTATGTTAATGATATATATACTTTGAAACCCAACGGAGAACTTGTTTTACATCATGATGATAAAATCCGAGAAGGCAACAGAATTGGTTTAAGTAGTAAATCAGTTAATATATATGTATATGTTTATATACTTGATTAATATTTACAATTAAGTGGAGAATCATTTACCAGCTAATCACGAGAAAGATATCATGTTGTAAATAATGAGGATAGCCATAATAAAATTGGTTTATCATGCACTGTTAAAAAAATTGGATTAAATAATCGTTTGATGATAACATTTATGCTACTAAATTAGAAATTAATATTTTGAAATTATTAGACCATTAGAATATTGTAAAGGCAGTTGATTATTATGTTGACAAGGAGAATATAGTAATCATTCTACCTTATCTTTGTGGAGGCTTGAAACCTATTTAAAATCATCAAATGGTTTTATAAATTTCCAACACCGGAAAAATTTGGCTTTCAAATTTGTTTGGCTATAAAGGCAAGATACATTTTTATTATAGTTTTATTAACTTTTGTATTCATACGCTACGTTCAATCATTTTAAACATTACCATAGTTATATATCTTTTATACTACATCTAGTAGCATTTAATTTTTTTTATTCCCTCCAAAATCTATAACTTTTTTAAAAAACCAGAATTAAAATAAATGCTTTTTTTAGTACATTTGTGAGAATCACACAATGCAATCATGTTTACAGATTTTGATTGATTTCAGTGTGTCAAAAAAAAATAGGATATATTGATAGCATGGGCAATTATATCAATCAGACCAACATAGATTTAGTTGGGTCACCTTTATATGTTGCGCCTAAACTTGCCAAGGCATTAAAAAATAGAATCTTGATGCTTACAACAGATAGTGATAGTGGTAGTGATACTGCTCAATGTAGATCCGTTGAGTAAATCACTATATATTGCCACAAAATGTCCTTGGAATGTTAATAATTGTGTGCGAGGAAGGGAAACCAAGTGATTACATTGAGATTTATGACAATACAATAGAATGTATCCTAGATTTTTCTACATTCAAATCAATTAGAAGCAATATTGATGAAATTGAAATTTTATTCTTAAATTGTGTCAGATCAAAGGATGACTCCTGCCTGATCAAGTCTTGCAGCATATGATATTTAGTTAATTTATGTGGAGAAATAATAATATAATGTTTAATTATCAATTAATATTTTAATTAATATTTTTTAAACTTGTATATAATTTAATAATAATATTTAATTATTTATATAATAAAAATTACTCTTATATTATTTGTCATTTATAAAATCTTCATAATCCACATCTTTCATCTCACCACCAAATTTCATTTTTTCCATCACCACATATCTCTTCTTCTTAATCTTTCTTCTTTAATAAATTTCTTTTTATATCCCATCCTTGAATACTGCTCCATTAATTGTTCTTTTAATCTAGCCTTCCTCTCTTCTGTAGTAGGTGCAACAATACCAATATACATTTGACTACAATTAAATTTTTTTGCTAATTTACTTCTTGTCCATTTATCAGGATCTTTTTGACGTAATTCTTTTATGGAATTTATGTCTGTATCAGTTAAATGATATTTTTTTTTTTGTATTTTTTTAAGTGGTGGTGGTAATTTATCCATCGTTATTATATTTTTGTTGTTGTCATTTGTTTGCAAGTTTTGTTGAGGTTGTTCTGAAGGTGACAGTAATGGAATTGGTGACGGTGGAGCACGTGAAACAAAAACACTGCCATCATCTAATTTTATTTCTTCATATACTGGTGCTGATAATTCTACTTGTTTGACTGGTTTTCTAGCCGAATAATGACGTTGACAAGTTGTTATTATTTTTGATGATGATAAAGAAGTGAAAAAGGGTTTAATAATGAAGGATTTTGTTGTATTTTTTATTAAAAACATTTTTATATATATTTTTGATCTTAGATGTTACACGTACTTTATGAATTCAAAAATTTTTAATAATAACAAAATGTCAACATTTATTAAAAACAATAAAAGTATTTTTACGACAAGAATAACGACAACAACAGTTAATAATAATAATAATAAAATTTTAAAATATTTAATTAATTTAATGACAATGAAATCACCATCATCAACTTCTTTTTCTTCAAGAAACTATCAAACATCATCATTTTTTGATAATATTATTAATAGTAACAAAAATACTAACAAAAATAGCAAAGATAGTAAAAATATAGATGTCAATAAGAATAATAATAAAGATTCTAAACCGTTACCTTTTCTTTCGCCATCATCATTATTTCCTTCATTATCATCATTATCATCATCACCATCACCATCATCACCATCATCACCACCACCATCATCACCTTTTCTTTCACCAACATTGAATAATGATAATGATGGCAGTGATAAAACTAAAAGTGAAGCAACAATATTTATAAATGATAATAATGAAGATCAAAAATTTTTAAAGGAAGATCCAATAATTTCACAACTTATTAATATGATAATGAAAGATGGTAAGAAAGCCACTGCAACAAAATATGTTTTAGATGCAGCACTTGAAATACGTAAACAAACCAATAATGAAGATCCGTACAAGATTATTAAGACAGCAATAGAAATTGCATCGCCTCTTGTTGATTTGATAAGTAAGAAAGTCACTGGTACAAAGTCAGCACAAATACCAACCGCGTTGAATCCAAGACAACAAAGAAATCGTGGTATTAAATGGATACTTGACGCATCTGAAAGACGTAATCATAAACAATTTAGTGTTAGATTGGCTCTAGAAATTTTGTCGGTTATAAATAATACTAGTCCGGCAGTAAAGAAAAAAGAACAACTGCATAATAGTGCAATACAAAATAGATCCAGCCTACCAATTAAATGGTAAATTGCTCTCATATAAAACAAATAAACATTATTGATATGATTAAAATATTGTATGTGATAATTCTTACAAAATAAAACAGAAATAGACAATTGATTTAAAAGATATTATAGAGAAATTATAAATTATCTAAAAGTGTTATAATTTAATATACTCAATGATAGAATTAAATATAAATAATTTCAATTAGCTAGTATATCATACATATATTTAAAACCTGATAAAGTATCATAATAATAGGTAATAGTATGATCACCAATTAGTCCATTATAAATTACTGCTCCTTTGTTTTGACTCTACTTAATATAGAAGTTTTCATTATAGAACTTTAATATAATGACACTCATTTTTTATAAACTTATAGTCAGTCATCAGCTGAATTTTTCCTCAGACACTGCCCTAGAAAATCCATCATGTGCCCCCCGAAGAATTAATTTAAAAACATTAGTACATTAAACTTAAAATTGCACTATCTCGTTCTTGGACCTTTTTGAATTAGTAACCTTGGTTGCCATGTATCATGACTAAGATAATATTCAAAGAGTTCGATATATACTTTTTTATTAACTTTTTTATAAGTGAAAGAAATCATCTGAAGAAATCTTATCAATATTAATGGATTAAAGCCATCTCATTTTGTCCTATTCCCCCGTCATACCACGAAATCATTTCATTAATATTAAAATAAACTATATTTGGTCGAATCCATTCATTTTCAATTAATTCCATTAAAATTTAGTTCACCACATACTTTAAGAAGTTCTACAATTTCAAACTGTCTATATATCTAATTTCCATCATACATATATATATCTTTAAAAAAAAAATTTCACGTTAAAAGACAAAAATTTTTGGAGAAATGTTTCCTTTTCAATATTTTTAAAAAATCTTGCTCTTAGAATCATAGAATGAGCTTTAAAGGTTTTAATTTATTTTGACTCTGGTCTCTATATCATGACAGCTAGATTCAAGTTTACTAATATATTTGGACGGTAAAGCGATAAGTTTATTAATAGTTACCATTTTTGAGAATAACGAGTCATGAATTCATAATCACTGCATGAGTTATTGAATGTGAAGCATACAATAATGGAAAACTCAGAAACAATTCTCGATCTTTGAGTCATTTTTGACGTAATTATTGCATGTTCGACTATGAATATGGAGATTGGGATGCCAGGACATGCGATAATGGCATATCTCATTACATAGACAGACATGAAATAACGCTTAGTTTAATTTTACTTTATTGTTTTAAATTTTAATGGTTGTTCATTGGATAGATAGATAATTGAAAAATCATGGAAATGTTCTCAGAATTATGAAAGCATCATAGAAACCTACCGAATCATGAGCTATCAATCACTACTATCAAATACACAATTCTTTCCAATAAACCGGAAGAACATCAAGAAATCAGTAAGGAAAGAGAGGAAAGAAGGAGGATAATTAAACAAAACTTGGAATCAAAAGAAAGGAAAAATATTGATGAACGATTTGTAAATTAGTTATTCCTTTTTAACCATCTAACCGCTGCTCCACATGTATCAAATTCAAGAAAAATTTCGATTATTTTTATTGCAAAAATATGGGAACTTTAATTAGTTCGTCAAAAATGATTTATAGTGTAGTTATCGTTGGGTGTTTACGGGCAACTTTACGACATTAACTCTATATGTTGTATTCTTAGCATGACAGACTTCAAAATATGCATATTGTTAATAAAACTTTTCGCAATGCATAATTTAAAAACATAATAATCAAAAAAAACAAGGTCATACATCCCGTCAGCTGAACATATGTTAAGGAATCTTCAATTATGCTGAAACTAATGAAATTAAATTTGACAATATCCCTACACTCCAACAGATTAAAACTTGGATAACCGGAAAAAGGCAACTTCTAATAATGTAAAAAAAAATTATATATGACATGAATGATAGTTCACAACTTCGTAACGGGATGTAAGTATGACAGGGTAGGAATTAAAGAATGCGTAGGTTGGATGAAAGACAAATATGCATTTTCGAGAATTTCTCTCATTTAGAGTTCGTTACACAACACATCATATGGAAAAAAAATCACAAGATCACAATTTTAAAGGTTTGTATAAATAAAACTTAAGATTGCGAAACTTTGTATATATACTCTCCAAGATTAATGCTATTGAACAGTGTTAATAAACTTGTTGGACAACAGCTTTACCAACAATTAGTGTCAAACAGCAATAAAATATACAAATGCATTATTTTATAAAACTAATACAGTAATTATAATGATAGAAAAAAATTGTTTTTTTTCAACCTGTTAATAGCACTGATTGAAGAAATTGTATTTTTTTTTTGTTTTCTTTCATGATAGGTGTTATACTCTTTGTATTATGTTTTTATTTCTATTTCATCTAATTTATTCAATATACTAAATATATTAAATCAACTTTTTCGCCAATGACTTCTCTGGATCACCAATATCTGTCAATAATTCTTGAAGCTTGAATTCCCATTCAACATCTCGTTTATTTTTCACCAAGAATTTTTCATGATCTAAATCTATAATATATATCCATTCAATACTACTACTACAATCAATCTCTGGAGCTTCATTAGTTGGAGATTCTTCAAGGAGCAAATAACCTAAAGATAAAGCCTTTTTTAGACGAAGTCCATCTACAGAAAAAAGTCTTCTTAGTAAGAAGGACCATTTTTCTTCTGAAGAGTCGTATGTCTTACACATCCAGGTGTAAAATGCTCCCGAGCTACGCCTAATAATGGCTTCAAGGTTTCCTGTCTCATTATCTTTTATATACATGGAAGAACGACGTAACCAAGATTCAAAATAAGGCTCGTCTTGTGTGATGAATGTTCGAAAATTATCTACGAATTCTGGTGTAAGTTCTGGATATATTTCATCGCACACAATAATACTATTTACCAATCTTTCACGTAATTCTTCCAAACTAAATCCTTGAAGTTGTCTAAGAAGAGCTTCTCCTAACCCTTCAGGATATGAGTCCCAATGATTATAGATTATATAATATACTCCTTTATACAAGAAGCAATATAAACCTCGAGTTCCCATATTTGTACGTTTTTTCCCAATTCAAATAGGTAAAATAAATCTATTGAAAATAAAGCCGTGTAACCAGGAAAAATTTTTCAGTTACACATAATATTAAAAGTATTAGTATTAGGTAAATATAAAAAATATTATTAATTGTTGAAATCATGTGATTTGTTTTCAGGATCATGAATAATAAATCGTACATATGAGGGAAAAGAGAAGCGTAATTTTGAGTTACAAATGATTGGTTTTAGTTTAGAAATCATGCCACTTTAATAATGCAGATCTTTCGTTTCAGGATTTGCTGTTTCTATTTTTCCGTGCTTTCATAAATTTATTATTATTAATTTATGCATAATGATAAGAAAAACAATAAATATTTTATTCATCTTCATCAAAAAAGAAAAGGTAACCGATTAATTGGCCCTCCTCATCTAGCTTCCAATACCAACTATAGACTATTTACACAAGCAAAAAATTTTAGTAAGCAACATTTTTGGAATGGTGATATATTCCATTAGTTATTCATGTAGGCTTCCATTATCTACAAGTATATTTTATATATTGCAGGGGTAATGTAATATGATTTTTTTAATTATAGATAAATTGAGGCAAGAGGGTTGTCATGTTACTTACAGTCAAAGGTATTAGAACAGTTAGTTATTGGGATTCGTTCAAGAGGACAGAACAGATAAATTCAAATATTATTTTTTAATTCACAATTTATCCTTCGATAAAGTTAGATTGGTAATACTAATTACCCATCTCACCCTCGTAATTCTTAATTTTGATGACGTCTCGTAACTTATGGTTGGAGATTCGCTTATTGACTCTCGTTCATTCATTCATTCATTCGCCTAGGCTAAGATCCTGTAAAAGCTTGGACATATCAAATATCTATGTGACTTGTGTGATTTGTAAAACATAAAAATAAGACATCGTTTTATTATTTAGTTGTATAAAAAGCACTTAAAGCCACGAAAAAAGTAATAAATTGTGAATCATTAACAATTACCTCACATTACGATGCTTGGCTGTTTTTGCTAAAGGGTATAAATGCAATTTATCAACAGGCCAATGTAATACATTTATTTTGCAAATGACAAATGGACATATATCTGAATAAATTAACACTTGTTGCTATATTTGATTGTATTAAAGGCGTTGAATTTTAAATCATATTGCGCCTTATTTTTGTTTTAAATGTTTGCCATAATAAAGTGTGACGTCATGAACTTTACCCTTAGAATTTGACAATTTTTACGACCTTAGAATTAAAAAATTTGTTTCAATTTTTTTTGGAAATAATCATTGTTAAATTTTCTGTATAGTCCTTTCCTGTATAATCAGGAATTTCCTGATCAAATGCACGGAATAGAGTAATAGTAGAAACAATGACAAAATGATGCATGCATGAATGTAAATTATTTGTAAATCTAAACCATTTTTATATTATATATATTATATTACATTAAAATACAAATTATAAGGTTTTTGAATTAATGATGATTATTATTAGATTGATAATAAGAGTAATAATGGTAGTAATAATAATTTTTAACAATATTCTGGAGCATAAGAAAATAAAAACGAAATTGATTCACCGTTATGTATACGTCGAATGGCTTTTGTTTAAAAAAAAAGTGGGTTAATAAATAATAAACCAGCAATTAAACTATGAATCAAATTAACTCTAATCAAAAAAATCACCTTCAGATAAGGTAGGAGAAATGTCGATTGTGTCAAGTTTTGAACAATCAGTTTTCTTTTCATGATGAGGTATGGTATTCGTTACAACTAATCTTTCTAAGCAACTTTCATTGATAATATCAATTGCTTTACCAGACAAAATACCATGTGCAGCCATTGCATAGACTTTTAATGCACCACTCTCACTTAAAGTTTTAGAAGCTAAGGCCAAAGTACCACAAGTATCAGCCATATCATCAACTAATATTGCTATTTTACCTTTGACATCACCAACTAAAATCATTCTTGAAACTTCGTTTGCTTTTTTTCTTTCTTTATGAATTAAAGCAAAATCTAAATTTAAACAATCTGCAATTGAAGCTGCTCTATTTCAAGGAAAAAAAAATAATGTAAATATTATATATATAATGTTTTATATTTTATTAAAAATATTATATATATATAATAATGACTTAAAAATATTATATATTACCTTTTTGCACCGCCGGCGTCAGGTGAAACAATAATAGCATTTTTATAATCAGGAATATTAGTGCTGATGTATTTAAGCATGGAAGGTTCAGAAGGTAGATTATCTACAGGAATATTGAAGAAACCCTGGATCTGACTTGCATGTAAATCCATTGTAATTACATGATTAGCACCAGCAACGGTTATCATATTAGCAACTAATTTTGCAGAAATAGGTGCTCTTGATTTTTCTTTTCTGTCTTGTCTAGCATAAGGAAAACAAGGAATCACTGCCGTTATTCTTCTTGCAGATGCCGCCTTACATGCATTGATCATAATCAATAGTTCCATTAAATTATCGTTAACTTCTCCACACCCAGATTGAATAATGAAAACATCTTCATCGCGAACTGATTCACCAATAGCAACTGAGGTTTCTTGATTAGCATATTTTATCACTATTACTTTTGAAAGATCCAAACCTACTCGACTGTTATTATTTATATCATAAAGAATTTGTTTTTTTTATTTTTATATAAAGATTTTTTTTAAAAAGAAAATTTACACCTTAAAAAAAATTATACTCTTACCGCGCTACAAGTTGTGCAAGTTCGATATGCGAATTACCTGTAAATATTTTTATGGAATTTATTGCCATTGACAAGTGTGCGTTAGATAAATTTTGAAAAAAAGATCAGTTAAAGGTTTTAAAACGGAAAATTACCAAAAAAAAAAAAATTAATTAAATTAAAAAATTTTTTGAGGAAAATTTTTTTAGGTAAATAAACAAATAAAAATAAAAATAATTAGTATATATATTAATATATAAATAATTAAAACGATCGTCGAGATGAAAAGATAAATGAGTTGGCGTAATACTTTACTTTATTCGGTATCGAAATTACTAATCCTTTTTAATTTTATTCACTTATTACGCGTTAACGTCAAGAATTGATAAATAAAATTCGTAGAATTAACACGTGTCATATCGTGTAACAGCTAAACTTGTCAAAATTTCCCAAATACAACAAGTAATCATAATCACTTGTTAAAAACTAGAATATATTCCTTCCGTACTATCATTTTATTTTTATTGACAACTCTACTAGTGCAAATAATAATTAAAAATCATTAAAACCAATCAACTATCAATATTACACCACCATCTAACCTTTCAATCTTATCTGAACTGAATAAAACTGTTTCTGCAATCATCTTTGTCAAAATATCATAAACTATATATAGTAATTTTGAACAGGAACCCAGCAATTCCTGCATATTAAGGTAAAATATAAATTAGTGCTTTGAAACAAAACGTGTATATATTACAAATATAATTTGGAATAGTTGGTTACCTCTTTAGAGGTAGAGAGAGGACACAATTCTATCATGAAATTTTTGCAGATTTCTCACGTATCGTGAATCAAAATCCCAATTTAATAAAACTCAGAGTACCAAGCCCGTTCCCTAGTTTTCTCATTGCATCAGTACTATGATATTCGAATAATCGAATGTTAACATATTCGAAATTTAGTGTCAAATAAATTTACATATTCGAATTTTCCGATATCCGTAATAGTAATAGTAATACTTTCGAATATTCGTAATATTTTCAAATATTTGTAATACTTGGACTGATAAAATTTCTTCAAATAAAATGTCTTCAGTAAATGATGGCATTATTTTAATTAATGATGAAGAAGAAACATATTCTAATCTTTCATCATCAGAGTCTATCTCCAATAATAGATTATTCCAAATAAAAAACTTTGACGGAACTAAAGAAAGCTACGTTATTTAGTAACCATATCACAACAAATTAAAACCTGATAGAGTAGAAAACACAAGTGTAATTGGTGATATCAACCGTTAAAAACTAAAACTGGATAAAAACTTGTATAAATAAATTACCAAAAAAAACAATTATTTTTATCGTTTATAAAACTTTACCAAAAATCTAAATAGGAATCATTCAAAAAATACCTGAATTTTTTCTTTTTGAAAAAGAATACCATGAATAATATTTTTACAAAGCCTATTTCTTTTCTTTCTAAATACATTTCTAGCTGATAAAAATAATATCTCGGATGGTACTGAGCTTTCCGGTATTGTTAGGTAAATCCTTGCTTGCACAGCAAAACCAACTTTTTTCGATTCCACCAAACAAGTGGATCTTCTTCCAATAAAACCTTTTGTGATGTTAGATAAAAATCTATTTCTGATTTTGATTTTGTTTGTAGCACAACTATTTGATATCAAAAAGACTTATTTGTCAAAAAACAATGATAAGGTTGGTGTCTGAGAAAAAAATTTTTGCAAAAAAGGGAAAATTAACCGGCTAAGCCGTTTAAAATTTCCTTAGCCAATCAAATCGGCTTAGCAGACTAAGCCGCCGTTAAACTCCTTAGTATTAGTATTAGCCAGTTGAACATCACTAATAATTTTTAATAGTAAACGTATTCGTAAGTGTTATTATTATTATTATTATTATTATTCGGAATATATTTGAATAGATAATAATAATAATAATAATAATAATAATAATAATAAATAATAATAATAATCGAATATAAAATTTCGGAAAATAAATAAACAAAAAAGCACAGTTTTGAAGAAGACACATTGTTACTCATAACCAGAGATTATTTTTTTTTGCGTTGATGCATTTCCTTTTTTAATAGAATAGCCTAAAGTCTTGTATAAACGTGGAACGAAACTTACGATATGCTTTTATATCATACAAGATTCTTTATCATGATAAATGATTGGTATGCTTGCTTTGCGTTGTCGTTATTAATATTAATCTAAAAGTTTCCATCCAATAATCAAGTATTACAAATCTATTGTTCTTAGACATTTATTATAATGAGCGTTATTACTTCAAGTCCAAATATTTAAAATATTTCAATTATTCTCTATTCCTCGCCCCAAGATATGATACAATTAAATTTCCCAGGGAGTGTATGGCTTTGAAGTTTATGGAAATTACATCATTGCAAAGGAGAGATTGCTAAAGCCTCTCGCTTGTCTGAAGCCTCCAACTTATGGGTGCCTTCGCCCGTGGAAAAGAAAAAATTCCATGGGGATGAAGACGTGTGAGAGCACCTAACCACATGTTTGTTGGAAGAAACTTATTAAATCTGACGCCTGTGATCAATATCAGTCGATTTATTCATTTCATTTTTTTCATCGACGAACTCTACAATTGGGAGGCTCCCATTACAATTTCAATCCCATGCACACAAAAAAAAAAAAATTGGAACAAGTGGGGACTTGACTCTAAAGTTTTTCTGTTACAATTCGGATGACAAGGTGATGGACCATTATCCTACATGGAAAAAGGACATTGATTATAATACGGCAAAAGCATCTATTTATAAGGATATTTCCAAAATCGGTCCCTTAAAAGTTTTATTTCTGCATAGTCCTAGTATCATCATACTTGGGTGATGCAATTTATCAATTTTATTAATATATATATATATTAGTTGAATGTTCCACGAGATAATTTCTGTAACACTGCTAAATTATTTCTCATTATTATTTATAGATTATGGAATTAATAAAGCCTTTTTCCTTACTGTAGATAGCTTTTCCGATAAGATAAAATACAAATGGGACCCAAAAAGGATATGAATGAAGAGAGTTTATTGTTCTTTATCAGTAATAATATCAAAATTCATATGTTATGGAACTTGAGATCTTTACAATCTCCGAGATCGTCGAAATTTGCCTTATTTTTCATTCTACAAAAAGCGATCGCCAGAATGAAAGGTTTAATTTCCCATAAAAGGAGAAATATACTTTCCTCTTGACGCATGTGATTCTAATAGAATTGCTTTATGGGGCAGAGATTCCGTTAATTGCAGGTGAAAAGCATTTTATTATCATATCATTATGTTAATCTCTTTTTCTAGCAGGTTCCAGGTCAAGCAAATGAATATAATAAACCAGATTTGTGAGGCGTCGTTTCTTATCTTATCGATTTTTTTTTAAGGTACACATTATGAATAAATTTTCGAGTCAGAAATATAGTTACTACTTCATGTATTAATTAATAGTTTTGTTTTTCTTAGCAGTCACGATGTCTGAAAAAAAATTTTTATATGTGAAAGGAGAAACAAAAGACTTTGATACTAATCACGAGAACATCCGAGTAGAGATTGAAGTGTTAAATGAAGATATTGCGAGTGATTTTCTTGTAGATAAAAATGATATCCAATTGACGGTTTGGAAAATGTAGCTTTTATAAATGCAACGACTAATAATAAAATTACAACTGTACTCGTTTAGAATAGAAAAAGTTATTTCATAACTTGGATAAATAACTATGATTTATCTGTACTTATAATGCTTCTAGGATTAATAGATGATGAGCCCAAGTCTAGTCATACCGAAAATGGGCCAGATGATGAGGCACAATCATGTAATGAGGTGCAGATAATTATGAAGATGACATATGTGATAGATGAAATTATGGTGCCCGTTTTGGCAGAGGCATTAGATTAGGTGAAGCTTCACTTTTTCACTTAGTGCATCATAATAACAGAGAAAAAAGAATAATGTTTATGACTCATAATTTTTACATGTGTGGCGATATTTTATTTTTCTGATACCACACTCACATACTAATACACATCATACATATTGTTAAAAATCCAAAGCTCAATGTGGGTGAACTAATAAATGCTTTATTAATATTAAGAAAAAATAATTGCAGATGATTTGGTACTGCAAATTAGTTGATGTAGATATTATATATTCTATAATTTTTATTGATGTTTGATTGTGACACTTCATATATTAATAAAGCAATATCTTATAAAAATCATTTGAATTTGAAGATCCTTTTGAACACTGGTGTCCCAAGTGTTGATCGATGCCATGTTTTGAACTTATTATTCTTGGAGCCTTCTTCATTCTTATTTATTGCCAAAAGGGTCTCATTCACTGTTTGTTCATATGCCAGCTAGAGGAGCAGTTTTGAATTAGTCAGTTTATACAGAATTGACAAGTAATATTAAATATTTTTTAGTAGTTATACCTTGAATGCATGCAGTGTGTTTAACCCATTTAAAAACATACAGCATGTTTCAAAAGACCTTGGCAGTTCTACACTATCACAGTATCATCAGGAAATTTTCCCTGCCGCAATATTACATCCATAAAAAATTATGTAATATTTACACTCAATATAATAATTGCATAATTTTTGTATGCTTATTTGCATAATATTATAGGCCCACTGTAAACTTATGTAAATAGTGTAATGATTATGTAAATCCACATCAGAAAAAATTTCCTGATGTCATCTACCATAAGATAAACTCCAGGAGAAATTAAGATCATTAAATAACCAGTCCACTTTGTCACTATTTATTACATAGAGTTATTAATTAGATAGAACAAGATTAATTAAGACAAATTTTCTTGAAGACCAGCTTACCAATGACTTGCCAAGCAAAACACAATTAATATCAGTTTTTTGTAGAATAATATCTAGCAAGTCCTTCATAAATAATCCCAACTATACATGAAGTTGAAACTATTTTGACCATTTGCAGATCTGGTCAAAATAGGGTTGAAATAAGGTCGAAACTGATTTTTACTATGTAGTTGCCTCAAATCAAAGCATTTCGACTTTAGGGTTTTAATTTCGACTTCATGTATAATCCCAACCTAATCAGATCAATTAGGTTTTTCTTTTCCGTGTTGTTCTTACCCTCACCTGTTACTTCTCCAAACATCACTTCATAAGCAAACATTCCTATTGATGTTAAAGAAAGAATTAGAAAACTGGTTTTTTTTTGTTTTTTTTTTTTATAAATACCATTATTGACAATATTCCCAATCATATCAGGTTGTTTAGCCCAAGAAGGATCACCAGTAGCAAGCTTTCAGACCTTTGCACTGGTACTGGATGTGTTTGGCCAAATTGTCAGATATATACAAGCATCATAAAAAAAAATGCACAACACAGGACTTATTAAATTCGCCACCAAAGTTCCTTCACTAATTTTTTCCTTCAATGAACACAACGGAATTGTGTAAGACCTGCAAAGTATTTAAGAAAAAATATTTACCACAGACAATTCATAAAGATGTTTGAATAAAAGAGATCAAAACTTACAAGTGTTGAAATAGAAACTGCGTTCATCAGAAAAATTCTTTTTCTGTTGTTGAATTGAATGTTTTGAGAAAGAGTTCATAATTGTTTTGCGAAGCTTGCACAACCCACCATCATTATCATCAAGAGCAATCTAAAGCAAGGTAATCAGCAAAGGGAATATTGCAAAAGGGTGACAATATAAATAATAGAAGAAAACAAACCTCAATATACTCTTGTAGGATTAATTTTATGTCTCTTGTCACTTTTTCCTTTCCAATAAAATTTGATTTAATGTTCTTTCTCAATCTTCAAGTGTTTCCCTAGAGAATGTTTTTCTGAATAGTTATCAGATTTTAGTAAAGAATATGCGATAGACTCCTAAAATTTCAAAAAGTAAACATCCTCTATTAATAAAGTTAATTTACTAAAAATATCAATATCCCATTTAGAAGTCCTACTTACAATAGTTTGTGATAATTTTTTGTTACTAGCAAACCAGAATTTTGTGCAAGAGCTGATGCTTTGGACTGGTATGATTTAAATAATGATGAAATGTCTTTTGTTTTGAAAATGAACTATAAAACAGTCATTTTTTAGAGAAATCATAATTGCAATTGATTGTGAGAAAAAAAATACTTACATGTTTATCACCCTGATCAATGTATTCGTCAAATCCGATTTCTTCTACATTTAGTCTTAACACACACTCCTCATCACTTTCATCGGAATCATCATTCTCATCAGAATCATTACTATCATGCTTTGTAAATATAGATCAAATTGGTCAATTTTAAGTCAAAAATGAATAAAAAAATCATTATATTTATGACACCAACCTCAGAACCAATAGGGGTCCTAAAATCGTCATTGGTAAAAGAATTCTTGAGTGATGTGTCATCAGTCTTTTTGAGTGTGGGTTGTTTTGATCTTGGCTTGTATAATACATCATCAACAGATAATCCTTTTGAGAGCATATGTTGGATGTTAAACTCCTCCAATGCATAAAGTAAATCCAAGCTTCCTGTAAGATGTTTATGCTTTACTGATACCTGTTTTAAAACAACAGTAAAAAGTAAGAAATAGCTGATAGAGGTTCACAGTTCTAATAATAAAATTCTGTGTATCTTATTTGTTTCTTTTCAAAGATGACATTTTCCCAATAGTCCTGAAGTTTATTGTTTGCAAGCTCTGATCTTATCTATTATAAAAATCAAAAGCAAGTTGTAATGATGAGAACTGAAACAAGAAACACCCATTATAAAATTAAAAGCAAGTCGCAATGGTGAGGCACAGGATGAGAACTGGTACTCCTGAGTCAGGATAAGAGCTGACTAGGAGTGCTCATCACCATTACTCGGCTAGGATAAGAGCTAATACTTTTAGTCAGGATGAGAGCTGACCAGAAGCTCCCTATTGCTAACTATTATTCTATGCAAATAGTAAGGTATTACCCTTTTATCCATATCATCATTATTTCCTGAACACATTTTTGCTTCAAGTGAAAAATGCCATGCCCAAGCACCATTCGAGCCTGTAAATTCATCAGAAGCTGATGTTGAATTAATTATAATGTCATGATGTATATTTAAGAATTTGGTATAGGACCAGACTTTATGGGTCTTCAGGTAAGTGACAAGTTCTGAAATAGTTGATTGTAGGTTAAGAACGAAGAAAGAAAAAAAATTTTTATTTACAAACCTACCATTGTGACCAAGATATTTGTTGTTCTTCATCATACAGAATTGTGTTTATTAAATTCTAAGAATAATTTTTGATGCACAGCCCCATAAAATGTCATACAGCATACAGATTATCTGATTGATTATGTGGATCGGTGAACATGTAATTTCTAGTGTACAAACATAAGTGTAACATGACTAAAAAATAAAAAATGGGTTCCTTTTTTACATAATATACTTCGAAATTTTCTATAAGTAATTTTTTCTTCTATGATACTATTTTCTTCATAATTCAACAGTTATAACGGTATATTTTTTTTTATTCTGAGTTACATATTTTTTTTTTTATTTTTTTTTTTTTTTTTGCAAAAGATTGTTAGTTTTATTTATTAAGAATTAATTTTTATACATATTTTAAATACATATATAATTCCCTCATGTTATGAAAACTTTACCCACATGTATATACATCGTGACCAATCTTTGCCCCACCTTTTAAATTTAATTTTATTATATATTATTAAATAAAAATTGCACATTCGTGCTTTATTAGTAGGTGAGTAACTACTTTAAGTTGAGGATTGTTAAACATACATATTTGTATGTATGTTTGTTATTCAATTGTTTTGTGTCTGGACCAACCTTTAATGAACCAATTGTGTATAGCTTGGTCTTGGATTTTTTTAATATTTTCAAGGTTGTCATTGTTGTTAGTGTGACTAGTGGTAGAAATTGATCCAATCCCTATTATGTTTGTGGTTTTTTTTCTTTTTTCAATTTTTGTGATTTTTCTTTTGTTTTCCCATTCTATAAGTTTTTTATTTCTTTCCTTCCATTCATTATAAAACTCATGGTTTAATTGTTCAATTAATTGTGTGATAATTTTGTTTGTTTTGTTATTGAATATTTTTTTGATTTTTTTGTAATTAGTTTGTGTAATTATCTTCATGCTGAGTGAAAAGATTAGCTTCTTTAGATCAGTGTTATCAGTTAATTGTGTTATTAAATTGGTTTTTGTGTTTAGGGTTGTTTTGTTAGAATAGTGTAGTTTGATAATTTTATCTATGTTGTTGATAAAGTTTGCTTTGTATGTTTGTTGTGTTTTACTGCAAAAGAGTATGTGTTTGATTGTTTCTTTTTTGATTTTGCATCTGGTGCATATATTTGTCAGGTATATATCTGAGCGTTGTTTGTTTAGTATGTTCATTGTGGGTAAATTTTTTGTGATAGCTTTAATTGTGAAAAGTTCTATTCTTTGGTTTTCTTGGCAATTGTTAATTTTATATTCTTTTGGCTTGAAGTATTTCCATGTTAGTGGTTCTTTAAAAGTGCCAATTATGCCTTTTTGTTTTATCCAGTTAATTGTGTGTTTAATTAGTAGTAATTGTTTGATAAAAGTTCTTGGATATATTGATATTATATGATCATGCCATAGAATTGCAGGTAGGTTTTGTGTTTCATTGGTATTATTTTCAATTAGTTTTGTGTTTTTGTTTTCCATTGTATTTTTTAATATGTTGTAAATTTCCTTTTGTTCACCTAACTTAGTATTGAATTTTTTTATTTCAATTTTCAATTCTTTGCTTATTATTATTTTAATTATTGATGACCATATGTGGTAGTTTTGAGTTTTAAGATTTATTTTTTGATTTTTGATTATTTTTTTTGTATTTTCATTTTTTGTATATATTATGATGTGTTGGTTAGACGGGGTTGTTACTAATATGTGTTTGATGCATTCTGCTTCTGCTCTATTTGATGAACAGTAATTGTAAGCTTTGCCATGAAAGGGCATTGGTGTGATTGTTGGTATAAGCCATGCAAATGAAATATTAGATGAATTTTTATTATGATTATGGTGTTTTGATATGTAGAAGCATTCAATAGGTTTATGTGTGAAATTTCTTTGAATCATTTTTTGAATGTTTAATGTTGTTGATAGTGTATCGTTATTTTTTATTGTGGTTTTAATTTGTACCATGTCATATGGTTCAATTTGTATACGGTGCAGATCATCTATAATCATTAATTGCTTATAGTAACAATTGGTCAACTTCAAAATACTCGCAAAATATATTAATATAATTCAAATTTATTTGAAATAACCAATAAAAAATAACATTACGATGACATCGAAAAAAAAAATATATATATATAATATAATTCAAATGTCAATATTAATATAAACTGGAAAACCAGTTCTTTAATAACAATAACAATAATACTATTATTATATGAAAAACATATTACAATTATTATTATTTTCAATATACTTGGTTCTTTCATCTTAAAATGCGTTGTTGAATAGTAAAGTAACTATTGATATAACTAGTTTATAAAACCGTTTTTAGCGAATCTCTCTAGAAATTATTAACCAAAACTTCCCATAAAGCAATGAACATATGAAAATTTATACCTTCACAAGTCTTTTAGAGTGACATTGAAAAATAATCGCAGCCTTGAAGAGAAAAGGTAATGCCATTTTGAATAGCCGTTAATTTATGTAGAAAGCTTTAATGGAGCAATTTTATTTTATTTTGATAATGGAGTTCAGAGTTCAAGTTTAATATTTTAAACAAACGTTCGGTACCGAATTTGATTTTAATATGTCACACGCGACTAGAAGGTATAACGACCGCCAACAGATTTTGTTTCGTTTCGCCGCAGAAAATCATTGTCCCTGGGGTTCAACCAGTTTTCAGTCCAACTGAACCGATAGGTAGGTTTTGGAGCTAGAGTAATAAACTGTAGAACTTATCGGTCAACATTTTTGTTTTTAGTATTTTAAAGGAGGAGTTAGTTCAACGGCGATTATAAGCAAACTTTTGATTAGAAAAAAAAACTATTGAACGAATTTGGGTGGCTCAACAGTAGGAGGTCACAACACGCACATCATAGAAGCAATGAATATTGTTAATGTTAAATTAACATCATTCACCAAGAGAATAACACAATCTAAAAGCATATATATATAAATGGATTTTGGGAACATTTCTGTATGTCTTTCAACTCAAAATATAATTTAAATACTTCCATTTCAAATCTACCAATCAATATATGTATCAAATGTAAATCTAAAATAGAAGAAACTATTGAATGTTTAATTAATTATATGTTATAACAATATAATATAATATCAGAATCTAAATTCTTATACACACAATCACTATTATTGATAATCAACCAACTCAACTTTATTATGAACATTCAAAAAGAAAATTTTTATTTTTTAACAAACTGTCTTTTTTTCAGATATGGAAAGAAAGAAAGGAATAATGACATAACTATAAAAACAAAAACAAAAACAAAATATAAATAAAAAACCTCAAAATCAAATAAAGATTAATTACATTATAAATAAATATAAACCATTCTATAGAAAGATGAATGGAAGCAGTAACTAATACAAATGAAATTTGTTTACTAAGTGTTAATGGGCAAAGCCCATCATCAATCAGATGAAATAGCAAACAACAATATATTGTACTGGGTGCCCTTAATTGTAGCACAAGTGATTAGGAAACATCAAAGAAATAATAATATATTAATATAGAATGCATATATGTTTTTGTAATTTCCTTTCAATACAGGTCATTAATAAAAAAAAAAACATTTAACACTATATGATTAAATAATTAAAAATAAATAAGGTTTCCTATGTTATTAATATAAAATCTTCCTCAGTATAACCTAGATTTTTCAATGATTGCTCAACAACATTTATCATATCTGTTGGTCCACAAACCATTATTTTACTGTTAGGATCAAGTTTAGGTTTTTTCTTATTATTGGCAGTAATAGTAATAATGCTATTACTATACCCTTTACTAATAAAATTGTCATCATTTACAGATGATAAACCTGGTCTTGTATCAATTATTGAATTATTAATTGATAGGGGAGTTGATGATTGTGGAGGTGGTGTCATTGTTAAATATTCCTGGAATTGTGATTGTTGACGTTGTTGCAGTGATGGTGATGATGATGATGATGTTGATGTTGCTCTATAATGTTGACGATAATTTTGATGTGAACCACTTTTAGAATTAATAGATGCTCTATAATAGTTACTCTGATTATTATTATTATTATTTACTATAATTGGTGGTGGTGATTGTGATTTATTAGGTCTTGTATTATGTGGTACCATTGGTGGTGGTGGGTTATCATTATCATCATTATCATCATTATTTAATGAATCAACATATGGTGGTGGACTTGTACTAACTGGTGAATTTGTTGTATTTGCTGTATTGTCATTTTTAGTAAAGTCTATAATATTTGGCCTCTTATTTCTATTAGTTGATGATGTTAATGAACCACCATGTGATGAATGATTTTTAAATAGTTGTGGAATAGTAGGACTGGTAGGGCTAGTAGGAGAACTTGGTAAAGTTGTTGTATAATTATCATGATTATGATTGTTGTTGTTGTTGTTATCATCATTGTTGTTGTTAGTTTCATCATTGACAACAAATTTACTTAACCAATCTGAAATCATTTCTTTATCAATATTACCATTTTTCCCTGACCAAACTTGAGGTGGTTCATTTAGTGCATATGTTATAGTTAACATGTCCCTACTACTTAATCGATATTCTTCTAGTTCTACACCATTAATTATATCCTCTATTTTACGATTACTATATAACAAATGCATTGATACTCTTTTATTACGTATTGTTGATGCATGGTTACGCCTCATACATAATTCCAAATGATATGTTATCAACTATTTCATTATAATAATAATAATAATAAGTATAAATAATGAAAACAATGAATATGGATACATTATTATTATATAATAAAAAACTTACTTGTAGCATTGGTGTGATTCCAGTGCCACCACAAATCATGAATAATTCATGCCAATGGCCATCTGGAGTATTAGGATTAAGTAAAGAACTTGTTGATGAAGATATGAATGATGGAATAGTTTTTGCAGATGAGCTTGATTTTCTATGTTGCGATGCTGAATCAACAACCTGGGATAACATTGATGTTTGTAAATTTTTCCTGTCTCCAACATCAAATGGTCCTCTCACTTGAATTTCATATCCTTTTAATTGTTCACTCTAAAGTATGATTATCAAGTAATATTAATTAATAACTAATAACTATAAATATAGAATATATGATTATTAATTATTTCAAAATCTTACCAAATGTTTTGACATTAATCCATCTGGATACACTTTAACAAAAATGCTAAAACTTTTAGCGATGTTGCCTTCTATTGGTGTATAGCTTCTGATTACCACTTGACCTTTAATTCTTGATTGCACTTCAATATAATGTCCTGGCAAAAATTTCAATTTATGATGATGATTGTTATAAGCTTCGCCTTCATTTTGATGCACTATTGTGAGTGTGAATTTCATCACTGGAAATTTATTGCTGCCATTGATAGGCACTTTACTTGTCAATTTGTATCTGCGGAACTTTACTCTAAATGCTGTATCTTGTTTAGCCATTTCCTCATCACTTAATCCTCCTCCATCAGCTACATTTATTGGACCAAATATTGGTGCAGGTTGTGATTCAACAGCTGGGGTTTCTTTTAATTTTGCCACAATCATTGTTGCTATTTTCTTAATTGCAAACAAACTATGTGGGTGTATAGCCAAAGGAGCCTTTAAGAAATATTTGACATTCATATCATCAACAACTTGTGCAACAGAATTTTTTCCAGTTGTGTATTTTTTGGTTCTCTCAAGTAAAATATCAGAGTATTGCCCTAATATTGATGGTGAATAGCTAGTTGGAACAGATTTTATTTCTGGTAAATCAATAAACTCAATGATATCTTTACCCTTATAACCAAAAAAATCATTTGTTATATCTGTTCCTATGACACGTTCAAGAATTTTTGCTCCACCAGGATGTACCCTAATCCATTTTCTCATGTTAACAATAAACCCATCACAAACTACTAAATATGCACCATGTTGAACACGCTCATTAACTTCATTCCATGTAAATTCTGGTAGTTTATCATAATCTTCTTTGGGAATATGCAATAAAAACAGAGATTTTTTCTTTTGATTTTCTTTTTCAAAATTTGACAGGGTGTACTTCCATCTAAAAGTTCCTTTCCAATTCCACCAATATTCACCAAATATAAATGTTGCTATTACTATACCAATCCATATAAGATATGCAATTTTATAATAATATGATTCAAATCCATAAAGTAAACAATATATATCAATTCCAAAATACACACTTGTCCAGGCAGATGCCAATAAAGAAAATCCAAAAAATCTGTGAATTCTTTTAAGAAGTCTAGGATATCCCTGGTTAACTGAGACTATTGCCACTTGACCCCAAATTGATATTAGACCTGATCCAAGTTCAATAAATAACAAAGCAAATACTGATGTTCCAAGCCATGCATGGATTGAGCTTGGATTAATTGTTGTTGCAATAGCTGCTGCACCAAAACCACAAATACAAATGGTAGCAAACAATTGTAGAAATCGATGTATATTGATGTAACTATTTGTATGTTTGTAATATCTTACAATAAAAATAGAAGCAGGAAATATAACACTATTATGGAATGGATGTGGAGATGGAAATAAAATGAAAATTAATAATTTTTTATGATATGAGGCAAATATCTCAATATTTAATATATATATATTTAATTAATATCAATATCCTACCACCAACTTAATAACATTCCAATACCATGAGCTAATTTCACTAATCTTTGATTTTCAGGTACAGATGATGAAGAAATTTGGTTATTGTAAAAATCAACCAATGTCCTTCGACGATTATTTTGATGATATGAAAGTATTGAACTTGTAGGGTTATAAGCCAAAATATCTAAAAATAAATAAATTTGTTACCATTATTGTTAGAAGAAGAAGGGGGGCGTAACAATAATAATAATAAAATAATAATAACAAGGGAAATCAGCTTGTAACATTTTTTTACAAAACTATCAGCCAGAAAATAAATAAATTAATTACATTTTGTATATCCTTTTGTAATCCCTTTTCTCCCATTAGGTACTAATAATCTTGAGAATTCAACAATTGCAAAATTATTCCTATCAGGAGGCGTATAATTAATTAATTTTAAATCTGAATCATCACCGTAAGGTATAGGAGGTCTGTAATCAGTTGGATTGGATTGATAATTTGATAAAGATGATAGATTTCCATTAGAAATCTAAAAAGCAAAAAAGTTTTAAAGTTACATTTTTTTAATTTTTACAAGATCATAAAGCAATTATTTTTCAAATATATATATATATACAACTCACAATTCCAATTACGAAATCTGCACCAATCATTCCACCCTTATCATTAGGATCAAATCCCTATTTTATTGTTTAAATAAATAGAGGTGTTGATATTTTATCACATTCATCATCATCAACGACTAAACAATTAACTTACCATTCCAAACCATGCATTACCACCTGTAGTTAGTATTTGAACTTGAAAATTAATATAATTTTCAACAATTTCATAACTAATAACATATGCTGATGGCCATAAATCAATATGACCAGAGTATTTTGATGGTGAATCAGGCAATTTCTGTGGTGGTTGAACTGTCCAGATATTTTGTGGGATTGCTGCTTGAAAAGTATTATCTAAATTACGTATAATAATATCTCTAAATGTTGTTTTATTTCTAAGCTCAGTGGATCTTTCTTGATCAGTAAACAAGCCATTCTCTTCGTTCTCCCACCAAAATCTATCTGAATCTCTAATAGCCATAAACTATAAAATAAATAAATAAATAACTAAATAAATAAAATAATAATAATAATAAATAATATAAAGATAAATCAAATATAATCATTTACTTGGGTGACCATACTGGTATTCATCAGTTCGCCAAAGTTTGAATCAATTAAATTATCTTCAACCTTTATTCCAACCGAAGCTTCTAATTGATTAGGACCATTAGGATACAATTGTTTTAGATAATCCTGTATTTCCTTAACTGAAGTTATACTTTCCCATGAATCTTTCCTATTTAAACCGTATGCCTGACGAACATCATTATATAATCCAATTCCTATAATAAATTATTTTTTAACATTATCACATATATATATATAAAAACACACGCATACACGCACGCCAATTCATACCTCTATCCCTAGCCCTTAAAACATCAAATGCTGCAAGATCGTAAGTGTTTGGTTCAGGTGAATTAATATTTCTTGTTGCATCAGAATAATATACATCAGATTCTTCTTGATATTGTAAAGATAATGATATCAACAATCTTGCTACACCAAATTTTTCCAGTAAACTCGTATCTGTAACATTTTGTAATGGTAATTCCATGATCGTGCTACCATATTCATCTTGAATTCGAAAAAAATCACTCAATTCACTATGACCATATTTGAATGTTACTGTTGAAAAAAAAACATCAATCCCAGGAGTTAGAGCTGGGTCGTATTTTTGATATGGTGGCAGTTGTTTACCCAGTATGACGCCAAGGTATTCTTCCATAACAACTTTTTGATATATTGCAATATTCCATTTCCTCTAATTAATTAAAAAAATTTTATTATTAGAAAAGTTACAAAAAGTCCTACGACACTTTTTAAATAAACTTACAGCCTCTTCAAAATATTGATCATCAGTCCACGTGTTATTTTTTTCATAGAGATCATCACATAATCTATTATGTTCACGCAGCCAAATTGTCTGAACGGCCATCGTAAAAATATTATTTGATCGTGCTCCAACAGGTCCAAGGACATAATTTCCTGTTGTTGGATCTTTGAATGGGTAAGTATCAGCCCCATTTCCACTGGTCTTTAATTTTCCTCTATTACCCTCACGAAGACTTTTTGCATTTTCAGCAGTGACACCATAAATAGGACTCAAGTCCAGAAAAGGAGTTAAATTATTGTAACTAGTGCGCTTGGATTTTTGTGTAGTAGTATTAAGAAAATCCGATCGATTAAAAGGTAAAAACCTAAGATCGCTTAATTGACCTGGTAATGAACTATATGAATATGAATTATACGTTTTGTCATCAGATGGTATATACAGTTGATGATCTGATTTAACATTATTTGATGAACTGATAAGATCATAACCAACAAATTCAGCAAAAAAAGTAGTCTAGAAAGAAAACCAAACGAAAAGTTAGCCAATTCAAAAAAGTCAAATTCGAGAATAAGCAATTGTTAAAAAGAAGATTATTCACCAAATGACTAGTTCGTCTTTTAGATCGATAACTCATTGCTTTCCCAATATCAAACTTGCCCAAACGATAATTTGCTAAAATGTTAGAAATACATCTTGGCATTGGATAATTATCAGCTGGTAGTGGATCTGCACAATTAGGTGGTTTTTGTGTTAGGTCAGCGTCGTTAACAATGTCAGAAGGACATTTTATCATCGAATCACCGTCTGGACTAATATTTTTCATGAAAGAAAAGCATCAAACTCATTAATTGATCATTTGATAACGGCACTAAAACAATTTAATTACCCAAAAAAAGGTTCAGGAGGATATTTCGCTTGAAAATTTTGTTGCGGAGTACCCGAAGCTGGATTGTTTTTATTATTATCGCTACCATCTAAAAGTCGAGTTTCTACTTTATTACATGATAATAGCATTAAACATACCATCAGCAGAAGAAGATGGAATTGAATTGATGAATTCCTTTCCATTCTTACTCTCTGGTGGTTATAAAACATTTCTCTTTTTTTTTGGAGAAATAAAAAATAATTTCACCCATTCTTTTAATGGATTTATTTATTTTATATAGATTTTATTTATATAAATAGTATATAATAAATAATTTTTTGTTAGATCACACACAATATTCTTAGATATTAGATGGGGAGACATAATCTTTCGTTTTTATTCTTTAATGAAGCTTGAAAAAATCTTTTGTATTTGTGAAAAAGTTGAGTCTTACTTTTTTTGGCGATAAATAATAGTCATGTCATGTAACTTCATAAATAAATTCAAGTATTTATTCTAGTTTGAAACAAGATTTAACCGAATATGTGTGTAAACATTTTGCCCACAGGAATTCAATTTTCCGTTTGTGCTGTGCATTATTATTATTCTGCATAACTTGCATTACGATCATAGTTCTAGATTCTTTGTCAACTTGAAAAATTTAAGTTTAAATTTAAAATATATTAATTAAAAAAATCTAGAAATCCGAACCCTGTTTTTTTTTTTGAAACATTTTCAAAATAGGTGCAACCATTCCCAATATATTGTGATTACAAAGAGGAGTGTTATGGTTCCGGTGGTCGAGGGTTCTTTAATCGGGTTGAGCTTCTCTGTACGCTCATACATGTTCCACCATCCACTGGGCAGTCAAGAATACGTTTTGGAGAAGGCTTCGTGCAACATTTTGAGTGCTATTAGAATTGTTACATCCGCTATATTTGTAATTTCAAATTACTTTGTGCCATTGTGGTTTCGTTGCAGTATGACCCACTTTATTTTCTCAATCACGCCACTTGTGATTGTAATTATTACACAATTAAATTCAATCAAGATTAAAACAAGAACAGATGTTTCCAAATAATAAGTGATATACATTATTAATTATTAATTATAAAAAAGATAATCAGAAAAGCATATGATGATTCAAAATGAGCTTGAGATTCTTTCAACACAAAATTGACTTAATTATATGCACCAGGTGAGCATAGTTATTGTAAAGTCATAAAGTTGTTCCCAATAAGCACAATTGAGAGAAATTGGGTTATATAAATCATTAGTAGTAGCTAACCGCCAGGATTCCAGTTCATTTAACATCTCATCGTTTGTGGTCTTTGCAATTCTGCTCTGTAGCAGGATTTCTAGCATAAATAGTTAGAGTACGATAAAAAAAATTTGTTTGTAGTAATAAATTATTGGTGCTTTTGTTTTTTATTCATGTGTATTGAAATTGTTCAAAAAACAGCAAGTCGAATTTTAGTTTCTAAACATGTGAGTAAAATTATTACTGCATTCTTTTTTGGTAATTTTGTATGAGCATTTTTTTGTTCTTTGAAAGATTTCTTTTCAAAGTTTATGTTTCCATTAGAGATAAACGAAAAAAGCCACATTTAAATACTGAATACAATTAGTATTTCCCTTTGACAATTATCTGATATTAATATAACTAGCCTTGGTTACCATTCAAAATGAACTTCTTGATTTAGTCTATTGTTTTGGTTTTGGTTACACGGCCATTTAGATTCATTTATTATATTTAGTCGATTTGAAAAAAGATAACCTCTTCTTTCTCTTTCCCCACATTTATTCTAATAGTGCACATAGGATTTTAAACACAAAAAAGGATATTTATGAAAAAAGTTTGTTTTAAAGTTATTTTGCATGAAATCTTGGATATGGAAATTATAAATTTTCTAATTGATGTTTAATCCTTATTACTGCTACTTTTTCATTATCCTCTTTGGAATTTGGTTTTTCTGTACTCCTTCTTCGGTGAACTTCTCTTTTCCTTTTCTGGACTTTTTAAGAAAAAACATCAGGAATTTTTATATAAATATTGCTTATAATGATTGCAGTAATTATTTAGAATGTTATAACTGTTTAAAAAAAAAAATCTTAATCAATAATTATAAAATTCGAATTTGGCAGAAAATACTTGACATTTATACTTGTCGAACATATACAGTATATAGGTTTTTTTATTCAAATTAATGATAGTAACAGTGATAGTAATAACAACAATGTGGGTGCACGATTCTTTTTGAAAAATTAAGAATTTATGATAATGGCATCGAGTAAATTTTTAAGAATTGACTCGGCTGTGGCAGTAACCTATGTATAGTTTTCGGGTCCTGGAACTACAGAAGAAGAATAAATAGGCTTTTAGAAATTTTTGTGTATTGGTTTTATAACCCATTTTGTCAATTTACTTTTTTAATAAAAGAATGATCATGATAGTTGTGACATTTATATGATTTTGAAGAGCTTGTTGATACCATTTCTCTTACAACCACAGCTGATGCCGCAGGAGTAGGATTAATGTATGTATTAGATCACTAAAATTGTGCATATGGACGGATTGGAAATATAAAATATATATTTTAGCAAGATACAGAGGTACTAAAGGCTCATTATATTGTTCCAAGATCAAATTAGTTCAGTAAGCTAAATTTTTCAAATATAAGGATATCATTTGGGTTTTTGGAAATCTTTTTTAATTAATTCAAATCGTGGAAAACTATATATTTACAAAGAAAATTGAAGGAATATTATAAGGAAATAAGGATTAATGAAATTATAGTGAGGAAAGACAAATCTTTACTTGCCGACAATGTAAATACAATCGAAGTTGGGGATGTGTATGCATGAAGACAGCTATGAATATTCCAAATATCAACATAACATGCAAATATGATATTTTTTTCTAATCTGATTATTCTGTAATTAATAAGAAAAAGTTATAATTATTTTTGCAACGTGTGGCATGACAAATTATATCATGAATTTCAAAAATTCAGAGAATATTTGATTTTTGTCTAGAAAAAAATCAAAAAAAATACCAATCCTGGTGCAAGCTGAGATAAATCGTTGTCCTTGTCCCAATTCCAAATTCCGCCAGTAGATACGTCACCAGGAATATTTATATATTAATCTTAGTACAATAGTCAATAAAAAAACAAATAGTAATAATAATTGGATTTTTTACACATTAATATATTAGTCTTCCAATAGTTGCCATCATAATCTTTAATGAAAATTCTCATTCTAGTTGTTATATTGCAATTATCAATAAGTTTATTTGATATGTTCCGCCCTCAACACTTTTGTAATAATAAGTAAATACATTTTTTATTAAAAAATACATATAATAAATAATTTTTATATATAATTCTATGAATTATTAAATTCGATATCAAATTTGAACCACGGAATTGAATTATATGGAATGTCAATTCCTTTTATCATTTGATAAGTAAAGGTATCCTTTAGAAAAACTTCGTTTGAAATACATGGAATCGTAATTCCTTCCATCATTTGATAAATAAAGGTATCCTGTAGAAAATCTTCACTTGATAGATTGTTCTCAGAATAGGAATATCCTTTTCCAAAATCGGTTGGATATCCTTGGAATACATCTCCAGTTCCATTTGTAGATGCAGATTTTGAAAAACACATGTTTTTTTTGCCATTTAAAACATGGCTTTTCATTTCTTCATCTTTTTTTTTTTAAAAAATAAAATATAATTGATGCTAATTAGAAATATTCAATAATCGCAAAAAATTATATTTATATTTATATTTATAAATTATTACCGAATTCAGAACTGTTATTTTTACGTCCGGGGCATGAAAGTTTACATTTCTGTCTTCTCTTTTTGCATTTTCCGCACGGATTTTTGTTATATCCACCTTCTTTTACTTTTCTTTCTTTCTTTTTTACATTTTTGCCTGTCATTTTTAAAAAATAAAAAAAACAGAAAAATTAAATTCACATTTCTTAATTTCTTGTGTTTATGTTGACTTTTACGAAAAAAAAAACAAACAATGTCTGTCTAATTCGACTGTTACATACACAGATATTTAAATTTGATTAAATAATGCGTCTTAGATTTCTTAAAGATCTTTTGTTTACTAGGCGTTTATTTTGACTTTAAACACATCCTATATAAAACAATTTAGACGCACATATATGATTCATTTTATTGGAGTCGTCAAATTAAAGAAATTGATATCCTACAAGAAAATAAATTTAGAGATAATTATACATTATTGTTATTATTATTATTATTTGAATAATCAAATATAAATCTTACTTTGCATGCTCCGAGTATCATGTCATGTCTGATGATATATGGGACTTTTTCCAGAAAAACCGTCTCCGAGGTCATTTGACTGAACCTGTTTTTAAAGATTATAATTGGTGAAAGTATCTGGCCCTATTTGCTTATTGGAAGAAAAATGAAACAAAGGGTTTCTTTTGAATTAAGTTTTATTCGTGTAACTAATTTTTTTGATCTAATTGACGGTTTTGATCTCGTATCTTTAAATAATATGCAGATCATTCTTAATTAATTGATAGGAAAATTAATTAGTGGTCAGAAACCTGAATCGGTTTTTTTTGTAGAAATTTAAAATGACAAAACGTCCCGCTTTAATTGTAATTTTTTGTTTCAGTAGGTGAAGTGAAGTCACATCCACATTATAGATAAACGAATGTAAGAGGGTCGAGAGTTACAACTAAATTGATTTACTACTCATCGAAGCCTTTGGAGCATTGTAATTCAGTAAATTATTAAATCCCACATTTTTTGTAAAACATGGAATAATGTAATTTTTATTTTCCGCTTAAATTTTTTGACAAAATAAATATTTTAAAGAAAAATTTTTATATAATTAATTAACCAGTTAAGGTTTTTTTAGCCAGTTCCAATCTCTAATTTATAAAGGATTAATAAATAAATAAATTGCATCGTCAAAGTAATAATAATAATAATACTAAAATTACGCAAAATGAAACTTCAAGTAAAAATTATTTTTCCTTCCTGATTGCAAAGTAAAATTTTTATTCATACATAGAAATTTCCTAATATGTTTTTTTTTTTACAATGAGGTAATGTCACATAATTGTAAAACAATAATGATATACGTAAACTTAAACAAGATTTTAATATTTTGAGCGAATTTGTGTATCCATCGTAATTAATTATTTAGAACGTTGTTAATTTTCGCAACCGATCAATGCTCACAGCCTCTAATCTTTTATGCTCTTCTAAAGCCGCCCTGAAAATTTTTATTTGAGAATAATCAAATCAAAGGATCTGCAGTTTCTCCAATGAGGGAGCTCGACTCGTTGCAACATACACTTGTCCTCCAGCAAACATGCTTTCGTCGACGTTCAATATCACATGTGGCAGTGTCGAGCCTTGAGTTTTATTATGAGCAATCAGAGCAAATGAATTCTAAAGAGGAATTGATTCCTTTGATGCTCTCTTACCATAAACTTCAAAATAATACTTACCCCCTGGTTATTATAAAGAAATAAAAAAACAAATTATTTAATTAGATGATGTTTATTTTGTGTTGTAAAATATTTATTTACCTTTAAAGAATTTAGCTAAGTATTATTTTATTATAAAGCAAAATATTAAATCATGATGTAAAAAAATACCACATATTTTTAAAATAGTTATTTTCTGTGTAAGAAAAAAATACCTTCATTTTTTTATTAGGAGCAAGAATTTACCTAATTATTCCTATTTAAGAAATTGCATTGTAGTATATATGATTTGGATATGATTGACAAATAATAATTATTGATTTATTTGCATAAATTTATTTATTTATTCATGATCAATGAAATAAAAATAGACTATCTCATGGCCAGATGGTGCATTGAACACGTAGTGCCAAAATGACATTCTATGTATTATTTGGCTTTACATGTTACATTCTATCTATATATTTGTTCGAGGTATCAACATTCGCGTTGAGAAAAATTTATTAAAAAAAAATTACACATACAAAGGAAAATTATCACAAATTTAATAATTTAACAAAAGATCCTTTACAAAGAACCCTCATGTGAATCAAAGTTATTTATGAATTTCAATTGTTAAAAAAAAAAAAATCTTTTGTCCTGATCTTCTTTTCCTCGTTAAACTGAAGTCAATATTTTCAAAAAAAAAAAAACTTCGATTTAATAAAATCGGCTTATTGAGGTAATTTGATAGGTAAATAATAAAACAACATCGGTTTATCGTGTATACACGGTTTATCAAAGCATTGTCTTAACGAGCCCTGACTGTACATTTTATTCGTTTTATTCGTTTAATTTCGTTTAATTCGTTTATTTTGTTTATATTTAATTCGTTTAATTCGTTCAATTCATTCAATTCGTTCAATTCGTTTAATTCGTTTAATTCGTTCAACTAGTTTAATTCGTTTTATTCACTTTTATTCGATTATTATTATTCATTTTATTCGAGTCATTTTTTACTCAAATTGTTTGTTTTATTTGAGTAAACCTTATTTGGATAGAAAGCTAACTACTGCTCAAGATTATGATATTATTTTAACACAAAAAGCTT